GTCTCTTTAAAATGTTTTTTGTAAACACATTGTGATAAATTTTTTTCACTAGCATCTGAATTGCCTTTTTTTTTTTTTTTTTTTTTGAGGCCAGCTGTAGAAATGGTAATTTTGGCCTACTTCTGCTTTACTAACAATGCAGTATTTCCTCCCGCACAATACATAGAATACTCTTAGGACAGGTCCCCTGCAGCCAGTTGGTGAGCAGTGACCATGCAGGCAGCAGCCGCACTCCCTCCGGGACACCTCAGGAGCTGACGACGTGCCCCGACCAGGTCTCGTGCTTGGTTCCAGGAGCTAGATGGGTGATCACCACCTCCACTGCCTGAAGCTTCTCGTTCTTCGGCGGGATGGTGCACATCTTGTAGGTGACCTCGTCGCCTGCCACAGGAACATACTCGCCTTCGATACTGTGGAGGGGAAGCTTTAGTTAATCATAAATCACATAAACACTCTTACTCTTTTGCAGCTTATTTAAATTTTTATCATAATGATTATCTCAGGTGCTCGAGATACTTCAGTTTGTTTCATAGAGCCCACCATCCAGCATCCTCAAAAGCTTGATGTCGATTTTGGTTGTCTTGCAGCAAAACCCTATGAAAACACTGTAAACACCACCACCACCCTGAAGAAAAAAAAACAAACAAAAGCAAACACAGAAATACCCACACCCTAATATGCCTTAAAAAACAATCAGCTGAGTGCGGCCGTAGACACCATCGCTGTGAACCATGCAGCCACCTCGCACGCGCTGGCAGCACTAGAGGGCAGGGCTGACGCTGTTTGGCACTTCATCTGGGGTGTTGGTTTTTTAAACTATAGGAAGTTGATCTTTTTTTTTCCCCCTCCTCTCATGCTTCTGAAGCTTCCCACACACACACACTTTTTTTTTTTTTTTTTAAAAAAAAGAAGGATTGCACCATGTCAGTCCTTCATTTTACCTTTAAGTTACTCCACCATAACCTAGTTCTGTTTACATACCTGAGGTATGTAAAAAAAGAGCCCGAGTAAGACACAGTGTGGAATACTTCTAAATTACTTGCTGTGAAAAAAACCAGTTCTGTGACCCCGACACGTTACACTGCAGAAACTCTCCTCCAGCATCCAGCACTTAGGAAGATTTCCAAGAGTCACTCGCTCCTACCTAGCCTCTACCAGCATGATGGAGTGGGAAGCTGGAGGACTCGCACTGTGCATTTGTTACTGCATGCAAGTCCTGACCTGGAAACAGTGGGAAATGGCAAAAGGCTGGTCAACTTCTGTCCAGAACTACATACTGATGAGAGAGAACTGCAAAATTCCTTGCTTCTACCACTGTGTTCAAGATGAGAACTTTTTAATAAAAAAATCCCAGCATGCACCCATGAAGACAGCCAGATATGCCTTCCAACCTGCATTGCCATAATTCTCTGACAGTAGAAAGGATGCTACTTCAGCTTTCTTTAAATATACCTACAAGATCCCATGCTAAGGTTCCCCTTCTCTGACAACCTAGGCTCTAGATTTCTCATAGTTTGAGGGCTTTTACAGTGTTTCTCAGCAGCATTTGTATTTGTAAACTGATAAACACCATTGAGTTTGTTATTTGCCTTCACTGAGAGCACACTGGGAGCATACTCATAGCACCCAGGAATTTTATCCCACAAATGTTTCTGTTATTGCAGGGACCTAAGATTAGCAGTGCCCTTTGTATCCACTCTCATCTTGTGACCCACTGTTGTTATTGGCTTTTCTATTGCAGGGAAGACTGGCAGGACTGATAGGAGGTAAATATACTGTCACTTACTGCCAGTCAACTTCACATCAGATTTTGCCTCTCCCCGCAGTTCTGCAAAACTGCTTCAGCTTCATCTCCTGCACTGCTCTCCCCCACCCTTCCCCCTTTAAGGGCTGCCTCAGCTTCTGCTCCCCTCTGACTTGTGCATCGCTGGTGTATCAGGCGGGATGTGGCTGAGCAGAAGCAGCCTGTACTCAGGGACGAGACGGGGTAAGCAGGTACGTAGAGGCGAAGCTAAAACTGACCAATAAATTATAACTTCTCCCATGGGAAAGTCAGAAAAAAAGTCATTGTTTGCTAACTGGTTGTATCAACATGATATTGAAAATGCTCCTGTATCTAAATAGGGATCTAAAACCTGCTACGAGGAGTTAAAGGCATTCCCAAAGCCTGTGGCTTGAAACACATGTCCTTCAGACTTTATTTCCCTGGGCTAAACCCCTACTCCAGAGCTGCCTGTGACTGCGAGAATCAGATCCAAGAGGGCATGTCCTAAGCTGAACTCATCAGAGCAGTGCCTGGGAAAATGGCAGTAAATTGAAGGCAGAAAAAATATTTACAGAAAAGTCAAGACAAAGCCACCTTCACCAGACCTGACAGCCCGTTCCTCCCCACTCAGGCTGATCCGACTGACCTTTATTTACTTCCAAAGTCTCCAAGCCAAGCTGTCAGCCCAGCCCTGTATCACACCGGACAGACTATGCGGAAGCTCCCACATCCAGACTCTTGCTGTGGCTGTCCTCTTCAGTTATTGCCTTCATTTATACCCCACCTCCCCCGTTTCTAACGGGTTTAAGATTTCTTCAGGTGTGAAGGCATTGTACACCCAATGCTGACTGTCCTTTCAGGAGCAGAGATTAGTTTACCTTTTTTACTGCCAAAGGAAGTTGCCACCAAATTCTCTGCAGCTTACCCTGACTTTGAAACAAAGGATTTCAAGTAAGGATGAGAAGATGCTGCTTGTACTGTCTCAGAGCCTAACAAGTGGACACAAAGCCCCAAGAAGAGACACGAGAGGGTCAAACCATGAGTGAAAATAGGAACGCCACGTAAAAAAATTACATCATCTTTCCCACTTGAGTCTCTTGAATGATCCCTTGTTGCCAAAAACATTGTTGCTATTGAGCTAAAACCACATTGCCATGAGCAGCACCTCACAATACAACCCATGCAGGATGTCAGTCCCACCTGAGGAAGGTAGCATCTTTCAGGGAAGGCAACACAGCACAGATATTTTATCTGCACAAAGGAACACAAACCTAGCAAAACACAGTAAGCAGAAACATTTCCCAGCTCAGATGCAATGAACGTAGACAATACAAGCCAAAGCAGGAAGTCTACACTGACTCAAGTACAGCTGAGCCACTGCAACAGGTCATAATGAAACATGTTTCTGCATGCGGCCTCAAGCACTGGGACCAGCTGCGGACAGTGTTTCAGGGAGCATAGGCAGAGCAGTTACATGGGGCTGGAACTAAAGCAGCATCTCCTCTTGACATTACAGCCGCAGAGTCCACAGCCCCAGGTATTGCCTTTGATTCCTGCACAGAGGATGAACACGCACAGTGAGCGGCGAGCTCAGAGTCACCACTTTGCAGGCATCAAATGAAACGGATGCCCTGCCCAGGAAGGGATCTCATGTTTGGCTGAAAGATTTTTTTTTTTAAATCAACAGGAACCTTACATGTTCTTTAAAAGCTCCTGTAAAACAGGATGAGATGCAGTCAGCGAAATAAACATTTGAAATCTGCAAAAGATATCAGTAGGTGTGGTTAATGTAGAAGGCAAGTGGATTCACACCATCTCCTGAAGAACCAAAGACATGCCAATACACAAAGGCAGTGTCTTAAGCTCATGAAAAACAGAGGTAAATTAGTTATCACTTGAATCTTCAAATTCAAGTGAAGAAGTAGTACAGCTTGAGTGCTAAAAAAGATGGGGGTTTTGTTGGGGTGAGTTTGGTTCAAAATTGAAATATGAATATATACCAGGATGGGTTCCGGTAAGAAGGGGGTTGTAGGTGTAGTGGTAACCAAAGTGGTCCTGTTTTTTCAAGAAATTAAGAACAAGTGAATCAGTACACACACAGAAGCAGTATGCCTAACGTACGACAGGCTGAAGTCAGGGAGAGGAAAAGCAAAGGGACTGACCCAGGCTGGAGGACACATTCAGCTATCGCTGAGAGCCAGCGCATCCCTCAGCACTCATTAGATGACTGGTAGGAGTACTGTCTATAGCCCCTGGCCTGCACAGGAAAGAGAAAAAAAAAAAAAAGACCACCCACAAAAAAAACCCCATTTGCTGACCCAAATTTCTTACACTTGAATTATGAGGTTAATTACTCCTGTTCCTTCTTCTAAACAGATCACATTAGCCCCAAAATCTGCACAGCCCTAAGCATTACACAGAAAGGTACACTTTTCTCCACTAGAAAGCACTTCTTACAGCACTGAGCACTATGCTGACAGCATCAGATCCTTTCTTGGTTTCTTTCCTTATCCAAACTGACACTACAAGGGACGGAAGCTTGTGATAAAACCTCATTCAACCCCAGCATGGCTTCTTCTTATCCCCTAGTTTGTCTTGTTTCTTTTCTTGCTCGTTGAGGTGACCTCACCTCATCAAGACCAGGCCTGTCCTTTGCACAGCTGTCTAAAAAGGTTGTGGCCAAACAGGTCAAATTTCATTTTCTGCTTTTGGCCTTTAAACTTTTCTCCCACAGATCAGATATTCTTTTCTTTCTTTCCTGCAGCTTTCTGATTACCAGTTACTCTTGGTGCCTACCAAATATGAGATGATTAACTCATTGCCCCCAGTGTACCTAAAAAGCGAGAGGACAAAGGTCTTAAGTTTGCAGCCCGAGTAAACCTGTTTGTGAACAGTGTTGCCAGCACAGTGTTTGTGCGCCAAATGCTGCTTCTGGGATAGATGCAGACTTACTCCAGCATTGTTATCCCTGCGTGATGCTTAGAAGCAGCAACAAACAACATCCAGATTGCGCAGTACCTCTGGTGGTGTCAAGAAAGAACAATATAATGGCACCTGAAAGGTGATGAGATGGTATGGTACAGGAGGCATTGCCCTACACAAAGCTGCGGGAAGATCCTCCATCAGGAAGCAATTGCCCTAAGTGCTGGGAGGGAAATTAACTGGAAAAGATCAGAGAAAGTAAACAAAGATCTTGGAACAGATTCAGCCTACAACAGCCACTCTATATACAATATAAGTTACCTGGATAATTTGGTAGAGGAAGTTGAACATGGACTTTTTTCATGCTATATATTGATTACCTATTTTTAGATCTGTATTTTTTCCTTTTACCCTAACTATATATTAAATCTTGATCTAGAGAAAGGTGGAGATCTTCACCGCTATTTAAGAGATTGGTATGCATGTTCTATTCAAAATTATATGTATCTATGTATCCAGGATCTTTAGGACACTTCAACAAATAGGAAATGCTTTCCTGATGTTAGTGTCAGAGTGAGACACAACAGAGTGAGTTTTAGATTATCCAGCAACTCCCATTTCTCAGCTCAGCGCCAGTCTGATACAGTGGAGCATTTTATCCTGCACTATTTTTAGGGAACTGGGAGGTTATTAGGAAATTACCTAAATTAGGAATGTTCTAGT